GTACTATTCTTTCCGGCGGGGCATCCGGTTCCTCTTCTAACTGCTGGAAATCAGGTTCCCACCAAAGTGCTTCTGCCATATTGGAATGAGTCTACAGAAAACACAAAGGGAAGTGGTCTTAATGTTCAGAGTTTTTTACTCAGAGTATGGTTGCGTTGTTTCGGAGTCGTTTATTCAGAGTACAGTTGCATTGTTTACTCTATAAAAGAACAGGCTACAGGAGGTTAAAACATGTGTTCAAATACCGTTACTAATATTCTCCCTCTGGTTCGGGTTCCTCCTCGAAATGTCGTTTTTTCGCGGGGTAAATTTGTACAATTACGGTTAGGATTTTCTCTTTTAACATTCGCTTCAACATTTTCGAATGTAAGGTCATACAATCTCCTGTTGATGCAATGTGTTCGATGCTACCGGTAACGCTTCGGGGTATTGACTCCCAGATCAGAAGTCGTCCCATCCCTCGGACTTCAATTCTTCCACGGAAATAGGTAGCATCTTTACGACATCCCACCATCGTAACAATGGCATATAGCAGAAAGGCATCATTTTCGGTTTTCGTTTTAATCAATTGGATAACGAAATAGTGTTGATGACAGTAAAGACGGATCTCCCATTTCAAGGTGTGGAGTAGTTCTAATCCTACAATATATAACCGGATTGAGGGATGTTCAAGGGAGAGCATAGCGGAGTGGGTGTCGTTAACAAGTGTTATTATTTGGTAATGTGCTCCTTTCCAGTGACAGGTTGGTTGCAACGAAGGGCATGCACAGGTACGGAAGGCGCAGAACAGCTCATGGGCTCTCCTCTCACGCGAGAGTTGTATCTCCTGGCATCCATTATCTTTAAATCTGCACGGCAATGCGACAATTTCCGCTAGTTGCTCTAACACAAGATTTCGGTGGTTTCCTATGTCCCCTCGACAAGTCAGACATTTATGAACCTTCGGTTTACATCAGAAACAAATTACATGTTCAGCGGGACATTGATATTTGGTCGAAGCACACGGGACATTCGAACAGAGCCAAGAGAGCCGGATCTGTCATTGAACTTGGGGTGCAAGACCTCTCTGTATTCGACGTATCGGCAGAAGGCGACGTTCTCTGCTCTTCCATCGGTTAAGCTTTGATTCTAAAGAAAGGAAAAAGAAAGTTGTTTGAGTCTCGGTTCTTTTACTGACCGACGATCTGATAGAAAATTACACGAGTTAGGATATATAATTTCGGAGGTGCGGGATTCACAAATGCCTCATTTGAGTAGGAATAGTTTTAACTCCGACGAGTAGTATAACGGATTCTTCCCGTTTGGGTCTCATCAACATTGGTTGATTAACCTCTAATGCTTCTAGAGTCCTCGGAGGTGGACTTGTTTCTAAGGTTACTGGCATCAACTCAATCATTTCCATGGGCGTCGATTCCACTCGATTTTCCTGTTGGTGCACGGAATAGGTGATCGCTGGTCAGTAGTATATGTATGAGAGACTCTGGGATAATTTGGTTAACTTCGCGAGGGTTTATAACTTTTATCTCATAAACTCTTATCATTTTGAGGGAAAGACGTCGAGCAGGGGCTAAAATCGAGCAAAATCACAGAATCTCTCGAGCGATTCCGAGATAATTACCATCCCAAAAACTCTCATGGGAGTCGAAACCACACCCATTTTCGATGCCCCTTCGGTTATACTTTTCCACGAGATTTGAACGAGCGTTTCTGGAATAAATCGCTTTTGTTTTAAGATATATTGTAAAAACGGACTTAGATTCTAAAATATATTAATATGCGATAACGATATATTTGTAATTTTTGTTTAGATAAAGGAACTGATTTTTTTTTAAATATACAAGCGATCGACTTTTTAAATGCGAGTGGCGCCATCTTGGAATAAATATATTAAATAACATTTTTTAATTATTTTTATTATATTTTTCGAAATTAGATGTTAAAAGAAATAACAAATAACATGTACCATCGCTAATCGGATCATGCTATTTGCTATTTCGCTATATATCAATTTTTTAACGGTATTTATTGTGTCGCGACGGTGATTAAATAAACGACACGATTCTCTTTTTCTCTCTTTTATTGGAATAAAGAATAGGGGTTACAATGATATATTAATTTGAAGATTATACAAAAACATAAGCATATGAATTTTATTAATTATATTTAAAAAAATAAAGTTTATGTTAAAATTATTTTAGGAAAAAAAAATTATAACTTTTCACATATTTTCGATAAAACATAAACCAGAGTAAAATGATAATTATTCGATACAAATTTGTTTGATAAATGTTTCTGATTAGCAATGACGATACACCAATTAAGTTTATGCTTATAATCTTCCATAAATTTTTCGGATAATTCTTGATGTTTCGAAATAAGATCCCAATCTACAACGTTATCAAGTTCTCTAATAATTTATTCGTGCAATTGTTGATATTGACAAATAAGCTTCATATTCAGGAAATGTTTAAAAGTTAATATGAAATTTTGACTCAGTCTTTGATATTGAGACACGAGATCCCAGTTTAGACAATCGTGATATTGCATCAAAAAGTTTTCTTATAGCTGTTGATAACGACAAACATCGTCCCAATTAACTCGTTGAACATATCTTTGTATAAAATCGGAGGAGAAGCGTTTGCTTTTCCAAATTTTATTCCAATTTAATTTATGTTGGAAATCTCTAATAAATTCGTCACTAAGATTAGTTTTTTCAGAAATAATGTCCCAATCGACATTATCTGCAAGTCGTCTTATTACTTCTTCGCTTAAATTTAATCTAGAAAAAACTTTCCAATCAAAACTCGGGTCTACTTCGCGAACTAACATGTCTACGCTTTTTCCGTTCATTATGATGTGAAAATAATCCTTCTTCGTTCGATAATAATACGAATAATGATTAGTTATATTGTTTGTCTCGCTTTAATATAAATTTTTTTTATGACGCAATCGCTTGGTTTTGGTTTTGTTTCAGCTCAACGAACTTTAAAAATGATGTAATCGAGTTAATTACGCAATCGCTTTTCCTCCTAATAAACCGGTTTTAGTTAAATGAACGTAAAATATTATTAAATAAAACAAAACACAAAATGATGCAATCACTTGGTTTTTGTTTTGTTTCAGGTCGATGAACTTTTAAAATGACGTAATCGAGTTAATTACGCAATCGCTTTTCCTCCTAATAAACCGGTTTTAGTTAAATGAAAGTAAAAATATTATTAAATAAAACAAGACACGAAATTTAAAAAAAATATATTTATTGGTTTTTACTTTTATACTCAAAGTACATTTTTGGAATATTATTTTCGGGTCCGCAATGAGGATTATGTTTTTCCGAATTGATGAAACATTCTTCAAAATTGTTAAATGTTTTGCTAGATTCCGATAGAATTTCCAAGCTTTGATGATGATAAGATTCCTTCGATGTAAGCAGCCATCGGAAATGTTTCACCTGAAGTATAAACCGTAGTACGTAATCCACGCAATATAGAATTTTAATAGATGGTGGAAAGTTTTGCGATTTAGCCGAGTATGCTGCCAATTCGATGCTTGAGAAGCTACCATTAGAGAAAGCGTAGGGAACTAATAATTTTTCGTTCATTGGAAAAAATTCCCTCAAACCGAACGACGACACACATGTACTTGACTCTCCAATTTTTTCTAATGAATTAATTTTTGAATTCGCGATCTAGGTTTTATTATGTTTTTTCGCTCATGCGCACTAGTAGTTTTGTGTTATTTTAATACGCGCATGCGCACTAGTCGTTTTGGGTTGTTTTAATAAACAATGATTTTAGTTTTAAACTTTATTTTTACATAATGTCTTGTAATATATTAATCGCTTTCGCCATTATAACTTGTTTAGAATTATTTGCGTTAACGATTGGTTTTTCAGTTTTATTATGTTAATCGGATTTTAAGGAAATTGATATAAAAAATACTACTTGCGAATATTCTTTGCATTTAGATAAAAATGTTTATTTACATAAATGTACGAATGCTGGAAGAGTTGTATATGATATTCGAAAATTCACGAGCGAAGGACTACCTCATAAATATATAGGTGTGCAATTATTAAAGAAAGAATTTAACTTACTTTGTACGAAATGCGTTTAAAATATTCGTCGAGTTGTATTGTCGTCGGTCCTTCTCAATCTGGAAAAACTTCTTTAGTTCGGAAAATGCTGCGTGAAAATATCTACGAAAAACCGTTAAAAAGAGTTATGTGGTGTTATTCAATGTTTCAGCCGTGGTTCGTGGAAGAGAAAAATATTCATTTGAAAAGTGGTATTCCCGAAAACATCGAAAATTTGGATTTAATAATTATAGACGATTTAATGCATTCTTTAACCGAAAAAATTGCTGAATTATTAACCGTTCAATCTCATCATAAAAATATAAGTGTTATATTGATAATGCAAAATTTATTTCCTCGTAATAAAGAAATGAGATATAAGTTTAAATACTCATTATTTAATATTATTTAAGAATAACAGAGATGAAAGTCAAATCAACTGTCTCGCTCGTCAAGCGTTTATAGGTAGAACGAAATACTTTAAAGATGCATATTTAACCGCGACATCCAAACCGTACGGTTATTTATTAATCGATTTCCACCCGTCCACAGATAAGGAATTGTGTTTAAGGGATTCGTGTTTTCCTGACAACCAAGGCGTGTATTGGGTTTATATTCCACAAAAATGAAAAATATTTAAAAAAATTATCATTTGTTAAATGTGCTTGCGAAGACAACACCCGCTCAGAGAAAAGCTTTGTTAAAAGAAGCTTCCCCGGATGAAATAAAAGTCATATGCAAAATTTGCGACAACACGCTTAAAGGTCGTTTGCCCGTTAATGTGAACAAGTTAAAAAAATATAAAGGATGTATACGAAAACTCGCAAAAAAAAAGATTTTGGTAAACCAATCTGGAGGATTTTTAGACGCAATTTTAGGTTCAATAATATCATTAGCTAAAAAACTTTTTGGATTTTAATAAAAAATGACTCAACGAATGGCGCTACTACCGCCCGAATTGATACCTAAATATCAATTACAAAAACCGGAAATACGGTTACACGATAATATTCAAGATTTATTAGAAGAAAGTACTGTACTTTGACAGATGATTTGAAAGTTAAACTATTAAGTCAATTGATTTCGAGATTTAAACAAACTATCCATGCACCGAAAGAACCGATTCGAGTTTCTTTAACATCGCAACCAACCGAAGAATCTCAACAACAATCACCCGAACCGACAAAACCATCGTCTATCGAAGATCAGATAACAGTCTCGATACCGTTAGCATATCAAAAGTATGTTCCGCATATCATTCAATTACTAAAATCTTACCAATACGATTGGAACGAAAAAGGAGAATTAGTGGTGAATAACAAACCAATAATAAACAGTCACATACTAGATTTAATGTCCTATCTTATGCGAACGAGAAAATCGAGCATTGTACCCACGGGTTTTGACTCCTTTTGGAATGGAATTATCAAAGCGAATATACCCAAAGAATGGATTGGAAATAAAGCATTGTCGACTCGATTAAAAATAGGAGAATCCCCCGTACTTCGTTTTCGATCGCCATCGATTCCATCGCCTCCGATTCGATCAATTAGTGTTAGGAAAAAAACTGGTGAAGCATCTGCTACAAAAATTCCTAAACGAGTTGCGTCGTCTAAAAGAAAGCATATTTCATGGAAAGATTATTGAGATCTATTTATTACACTCCATCTCATCCCGCATCGTTTGGAGGCGTAACAAGCCTAGTAAAAGCAACAAAGTTGCCGAGAAAAACTGTCAAAAATGGTTATCAACTCAAGATACATATACTCTACATAAACCAGTACGAATAAATTATACGCGTCGTAAAACTAAAGCTTTATATCAAGGAGAATTATTTCAATCCGATCTGATGGATGTTCGACAATTTTCGAAAGTCAATAATGGAATAAAATATTTATTATCAACTATCGATGCGTTTTCTAAATATGCGCATGTAATTCCAGTTAAAGACAAAAAACCGGAAACGATAAAAGAAGCGTTTCAAAAAATATTTAGAAAAATAATTCCTCGGTTTCTCCATACCGATAAGGGTAAGGAATTCATGAATTCTGTTATTAAGGATTTATTTAAAAAACATCAAATAAATCATTATTATACTCATTCCGAAACGAAAGCATCGATAGTGGAACGATTTAATAAGACCTTAAAAAATAAAATTTATCGTCTTATTACTTATCGAAATTCCAATAAATATATTGATAAATTAAACGATTTGGTACGAGCGTATAATAATAGCACGCATCGAAGTATAGGAATGTCTCCGGCCGAGGTTAAACCCAAACATCATTCGCAAATTTTTAATCGACTTTATGGTAAAACGAAAACTAAAATAAAATATAAATTTAAAATCGACGATAGAGTTAGAGTTTCTAAAAAACGAAAAACTTTCACGAGAGGTTATTTACCCGGATGGAGTAAGGAAATTTTCATTATAAAAGAACAACATCCTACCAATCCAGTTACTTATGTCCTGAAAGATTATAACAACAACACGATTAAAGGACGCTTTTATAACGAAGAATTGCAGAAAGTAAAAAATGGATAATTTTTATGTGACTCTAATAAGCACCGCGAGTATGGATTTTTTTCCAAAAAATACTCAATCCTCCTTCACATCGAAAATTAATCCACCGATAAATTTAACAGGATCTTGGGAAGTGGGTTTATCCCAAATAATAATACCACGTTCGTGGTTTAATATCACTAGTGAAAATAACAAATATGTCATTACTACTAAGGAAATGAAATTCATTAAAATAAAAGCCGAAAATTTATCTACTCTAATTCCATTACAACCTATGCAAGGGAACAACTCGAGTCATATATTCGAGAATATTACGAATAATTTGAAAGTTTTGAAAAAGGATCATTTTATTAATTTTTCTTTTAACAAAGACGATAGCACTGTAAAAATTTACGTCGCTAATGATTGTGAATTGCGTTTACTTCCAGATAGTGGTGGCATATTTCTCTCTATGCTGAATTTAGATAATCAAAATCCGTTCATTATACAGGGAGAAGAAGAACTAACATTTCGATATACTCCGTCTTTACAAGATTTTAGTGGAGAATTTTTTACTTTAATCGAGAAAAATAGGTATGTAGAAGAAATAAGAACCGAAAATGTTGAAAATATATTACAAATACCGAGAGGATTATACGGAACAAAAGATTTTCTTAAAGCATTTCAGATAATAAGTTTTAAATCGCTTCCGGATAAAAAGCTACTATTGAAAATTCCACGAGGATCTTCAGTGAAATTTAATAGACAATTAAAAGATATATTAGGATTTGATCAATTAGAATATCTCGAAGAAGAATTTATAGGGACATATCCTTTAAAATTAAACGCTGGAATAACGGAAATATTTGTATATTCTAATATAATAGAATCTCATCATGTAGGGGATAGTTCGGCTCCGTTGTTTCGAGTAATTCCTGTCATGGGAGAAAAAGAACAACAAATTGTTAAAATTTATAACACTCCATTATTTTTCCCGTTCGAACCAATCACATCGAGACTATATCTATAGATCTGCGCTCATTTACGGGTGAAAACATAATTTTTACTTCTGGAAAATCGCTTTTGGTATTATGTTTTAGACGAGTATAAAAATCCATTTACACAAAAGAGTCATTTATTTAATAAAATGAAGCTTAAACCAGAGGACTGTATCGCTTATTATCGATCGCAGGCGGGGGGAATTTTTTATCTCGATTCCATATATCCGCACACCCGTTATTTAACCCCCCCAATCGGGATACGGACAATACTTTAAAGGTCGTCCGATCCAAAGAGGATACGGATTTTTTGGAGACGAGTTCAGACAAGCAATTGCAATATTAAAAGATGCGGGAAAATATATTGGAAAGAAAGCGTTAAATATGGCAAAAGATATCTGATTGGATTTACTCAGCGGGAAATCGTTAAAAGATTCCGCCCTAACACGTATAAAAGAACTATGTGAAGGAGTTAGAGATGACGTCATTCAAAAAGTTCAAAGCGGATCGGGTAAAAAACAAAAACGTCGATGAGAAAGCGTAAAACAAAAAAAAAAGAAGAGGAAGGAAGTCAATATTATTTCTTAAGAATAAATGGACCCCTCATCTTGTACGTGTCTCAAGTTCGAGCTCGATTTCTTTAAAACAATTCCAACACAATTGTCTATAGAAAATTCAACTCCTAGCATACTTTTCCCCATAGCCTCCATAAGTAACCAAACATCTCCTATAGAATTTTTAATTTTTGGTTCGGGTGAAAGCTTAATAGATTTGAGCAGTATTTCGATTAATGCTCAATTATCCGTTACTAAACGAAATGGAATGGCTACTTTGGATACAGACCTCGTTACCCCCGTAAATAATTTATTGCATAGTATGTTTTCACGATGCACCACTTTGTTTAATGATAAATTAGTATCGACGCATATAAATTATCCCTATAAGGCAATAATAGACGCTCTCTTATTTTCGTCTGAAGAAGCGCAAAAAACTTATTTAACTAGTTCTTTTTTCTACAAAGATACCGCTGGATTTTTAAACGAAACCGATCCGATTAAAGATGTAGACGAAGCCGATCCGATTAAAGATGCCAAGAATGAAGGATTAATCGCTAGATTTAAGAAAAGTAGACAAAGTCAAGTATTGGATTTATATGGACGACTTCATTTCGATTTTATTAATCAACCTAAATTACTGATAAACGGCGTAGATGTTCGAATAAAATTGGAACGTTCAAAAGACGCTTTTGCTTTAATGGCAAATAGCGATAACTATCAGATTCGATTAAAGAATATTATGTTGAAAGTAAACAGAATAGAGGTTAGTCCTAGCATCTTACTGGGAATGGAGAAGACTTTGGAAAATTCCGTAATTAAAATGCCTTATCGACGAGTTAATATTAAAGTGTTTACGCTAAGTAAAGGTATTTTGAGTTCAAATATTTCAAACGCAATAATCGGTCAAATCCCGAAAAGAATTATAATCGGATTAGTTCGTAATAACGCATTTAACGGACAGATCGATTTAAATCCTTTCAATTTTGAAAATTTCGATTTAAATTATATTTCTGTTATAAAGGATTCGATTTTAATTCCTCCTAATCCTTATACTCCCGATTTCGACGAAAAAAGCTACGCTCGAAGTTATGCAACATTATTCGAAGAGATGGGTGGAATTCCCTACGGAAAATACGCTAATATATCGTATTCCGACTACGCGCAAGGATACATGTTTCACGTGTTTGATTTAACTCCTGATAAGGCAGCGTCTGAAAATCATACATCGATAATAACACACGGAAACATTAGCATAGATTTAAAATTCAAAAGACCGTTACCGGAGACAATTAATGTTGTTTGCTATTTAGAGTATCGCAATACAATAGAAATCGATCGATCTCGGAATATTTTCATCGATTATTAAACGATGGATACGATTACCCTATGGAAACTAGCATTAGGAGATCCAGAAATTAGCAAGACATTTGGAGGCGTCTATCCATCGGATTTATTACCCGAAAAAATCGGAAAAAAGAAAGGATTTATAGTTAATACCGATAGCAGTCTAAAGCCGGGACAACATTGGATAGCGATATATTTTCAAGATTTGACGTGTTTTTACTTCGACTCGTACGGATTACCTCCCAAAATCCGGTCGATTATAAAATTTATTCGTCGGAATTTGAAACATTTACGCTGGAATTGATTGACTTTGCAAGGACCATATAGTTTTACGTGCGGATACTTTTGTCTATATTTTCTCTATAAAATATCGAGAAATCAGGATATGCAAAAATTACAACCTAATACTAAACTATTCAATGATGCTTTTGTAATGAGATTTATACACAATAATTTCCGCTTGGGTAAATTACCATCTAATATAAAAATGAAATGTAATCAATGTAGCATTAGTTTACTCAAATAAAAAATCTATTTAAAATTAAAAAATGTGTTTTTATTGAACCTGGAAAAAAAAACTACTATTAAATTTAACCGCCCATATCTGAAAAACTAAAGAAATATTTTTACTCACCATTTTTTTCTTTATTCTACCGTTTCCATTTCTAAAAATAATATTAAATCGTTTAAGAAAAACTAAACAAATATATTTAAATTTTTTGAAAAGATACTTACCAGTTTCAAATAAAATAAGGGTTTCCACCTTATAATTTATAATACACCAATTTTCCTCTCTTCTCAGTGTTTAGGCAATTGTATCGCTAATTAATTTTTTTTTTCGTTTAAAAAATGACTTGTTGTTTAAAAAAGTTTCATATTCTTTCCATTCATACACTTTTAGCTTTTCAAAAATCTTGTCGTTTAGGTTTAGGTTTAAGATACCGGTATATTTGTAAAAATCGTGTATG